TCATGGTGAAGAGACGTTAGGGATTGAGACTACGAGTATGCACATATCTTGCATCAAATTTTTTCCTGACCCCACTAGTCGAGAGTGAGTGATTCAATTTTCATATTATATATCCCGGTGAGGACCTAGATTGCTCGGTCTTGATTCTGATGTCTTGAATTTCATGCATGAGGTGACAGTTTTTAATGAGTGGTTGAGTCAAGTCTATATTGGTCAGTGAACAGAAGAGAGACTCTTCCTCTACCTGATTTTGCTGCACTCGAATGTCATCTGTGGTGGTTTTCTAGGTTTATGTTGTTGTTTTTCATGTGTTGATGTCTAAAAGACAGTACGATTCACATGTTTCGTGCCTAGATGATATGTCCCCAAACTTTGCATGACTAAAACGTGTTGATCTTACCTTGTGTCAGACTTGGTTTGCTTGGGGACAAGCAAACGGTTAAGTGTGGGGGATTTGATAGAGTCATATTTGCACATGTTTGCACCCTTGTTTCTTAACCTTTTCTGCTCCAATTTGTGGTTCCTTGGCCTATTTTACGCTAGGTTTTGCTATTTTGTCACATTTCAGGTCCTAGCAGGTGGAAGAAGGCTTAGGCACAATTTTCGGGTCAATTGGAGATCATTTGGCGGTTATGAAGACAAAATACTGTCGTCCCCTACCTCAAGCACGACCTTGCTTCACATGATGGATGTTGGTGCTTATTTTGTCGAGCGTGGTGATGGTCCATGTGCAAAATACGAGCATGATGCTCTAAAGCATGACCGCGTTTCACCAATGAATTGAGCGTGCTTTTATTGATGAGGCTGGCTCTTGAAGAATGCTGAAGGAAAGCACGGGCAGGCGAAGACCAAATCACCGCCGGTGCTTCTCAAAATACCGCTGGTGTATTACCCAAATGCGACCATGGATTTCCATGTCCCAACTAGAGAAACAAGTAATCTGGTCAAATTACAGCAGAGAGTGAGCACGACCATGCTCTTGCTCGTATTTTGCCCAGTATCGGGGTAGATAGGCAGATTACAGCCAAGGAAGGAGATTCGACTTTTGGAGCAACAATAGAGTTCTAAAGAGAGAAAGTGACAAAGAACAAACACTATGAGCTATTTCGAGTGGATTTCTCACCATTGAATCCCATATTGCGTCTCCATGAGTGAAGATTAACATCCCAGAGCAGATTATATGCATCATTATGAGTATGACTGCTTTGAATTCTGTTTTCCTCTCTCTCTATGGAGTAAACCCCTCTCTCACTTGGGAGTCATTTGAATCCTGAGCAAGCTCTCTTGACTTCTGCTTTATGCTATGATGAAATCTTATTAGGTTGATAGAGCTTCTTCAATTGATAGTAGTGAATTGATTGTACGAGAGTCAGTCAATTCACTGCTTTGTACGGGAATTCGTTCCAAGTAGTGGATATTTGTGTGAATCGCCTTAGCAGTTTATCCCGGTGAAGGCTAGTCGTCTGTCAGGTATTCTGTCTAAGAGTACTTGGTCAGCTTAAAAGATTATCCCGGTGAAGGCTAGTCGTCTGTCAGGTATTCTTCCACCATACCGCATTTCCATACTACGATTGCACTTGATCGCAGTTTGGTGTTGTATTTTAGTGAGTCAATCCTCATTGGGCTAGACGGCTCTGCTGATTTGCAGAGTCGGCAAATTCGCCAACCATAATTGTTCTTTTTTTTTTTTTTTGTTCTTTTTAGTACCCTACTTTGATATTTCATTCACCTCCGTCAGATCTACATCTCTTTTCATTCCTCTTTCTACTCCTGATGGGGTAATAACTTTGCTTTCCATTTCCGGAATCTTCCTACACCACTTCCCTTGTTTCTTCTCTTCTTTCCATTGAAGACTCTCACTAACCTCATGAGAATTGGTCGCAATAATTATTTTTGTCTGAGTTGCAGTGGACTCAACCCCAATAGAATCGGTTTCCCTCCCATCTGTCTTTTTTAATTGTTCGAGAGACGGGATGGAACCATTCTGAAGAGCCATCTTACTATTCCATATGCTTTCTACCTATTGCTTTGTTTCGTAATCCTCTTCATGTACCTTACCATTGTCATGCATTTACTACAACTTCTCGGTCTATTAGGGCTTCTTTTGTTGCTAGGAAAGGGGTGATCTGCATAGCCACCTCATGTGCTACTTTTCCAGTTTCTTCCAGCCATCCCCCAAGCTTAGAACACAATTTGGTCCATATTCATTTTGTTATGTTCTGTCAGTGATAATATCGTAATATGACAGTGATATGATGATGGAAAAAATGTTCTTCAAAAAATATCGAAATGGATACCATCTTGTAGATTGTAGTGTAAACTTTTTTGAAATCCAATCTAAAACAAATGAGCTAAGGTTCGTTTAAATTTTGTCAGAGATTTGAAAAATACTTTGACAGTCGTCTAAGAATGACCAACCCAAAATCCGTTCAGTTGCTTCAAATATCTAGTCAGCTCTCCTCTTACCCTTATTTCCCTTCTTATCCTATATGATATGAACCAATAGATCTTCTTGCCTTCCCAAACGGCTATAAAACTTAAAGATCTTTACCTATAACTTGCGCCTTAAAATTAATACTGACTCCGTAACCAAATCATTTAGTCGATAAGAAGGAAACAATTGGTTGTTTTTATAATATTTGACAAATTTTGTATTTTTTCTTAATGATTTAGACAGAGTTTTTATGACCTACTACATTAATCACAAAAAGGTTTATTTTGTGACCAATTCCACTTCTCTTCACAAAGCTTCAACTAAAAATATTTTGTTACTAATAGGTTTTGCGACCAAAGTGTGGAATTTAGAGACTATTTTGTCTATTCACAAAAATCCATTTTTTTTTTTAGTTGTAGGAGTCATTTGGAAGTTGCGATAGTTTTGTTGAGATTGTCATTGTGCATGTATTGTTTACAATGCATCGTTTTTTTTTTGTGTTTTTTAGCAGAAATAATACATGGATTGTTTCTATGATGTGACAGAAACTATCACTCATTTTGAGTGATTGTTATATCTCAACTTTTAGTTGTGATTGTTGAGATAGTTGAGTTGAGATTGTTTTGTCTCAGCTTTTAGCTGATGTGACATACACAATCACACATACCAAACGTTGTATTCTACAATGCATCAAATTCGACAATACATGTATAATATTATACATGCATTCTCAACAATATATGTATTTAACAATCGTAACTTCCAAACGACCTCATAGTGTCATCTGATGGACTAGTGGCATTTAATTCTTTTTCCTTATATACTTTTTTCTTAATTCTTTTGGCACAAAATTCTATTAAGTCAGAGATCACGTCATCATTGATTGAGATTTTGGCCAAACTAAATAATAGAACTAACGGATAAAAAAATTTCATTACACAATTGTCACATTGAAAAGTATGGAATAGAAATGACAATTTTTCTTACCCTCTGTTTCCGAAGGAAGGGAGGAAAGGGAGGGGAGGTGAAGGAAAATTAGGAGGGGAGGGGAGATTTGGAGGTGAATGAAATTGGAAGGAACATGGTTTTTATGGAGGAAAGTGGGAAGGAAAATGTGTATTGGGAATTGTGATGGATATGTTATTTTATTGAGTATGTATTAGTAAAATAATTTGATTATATGTTGATATTATTTTCATTGTTATGAATTGTGAATTAAATTTGTACTTTTCTTACTAATTTTGTTCACTATTAAAAATCAAAAGTAGATGTCTTGATTTTATTGTCAGCCTATTGTTAAAATTGTCTCTATTTTATTGATTCGTCACATAGCAACTAAAAACGGAAACATACAACAAATCACACTAGCCCCTCCCTAACATTCATTCTATAAAAATTTACACTCTTAATTTGTTTTTACCAGGATCGTAACATGATTTTACATATCACGTAGCAGATTTATGTATTGCATAAAACTACGTTATACATGACGTAATCGCCCATATGGATCGTACGACGTATAGTACGATTTTACGTACTCTAATTTTAATAATAATCACTTATCATTAATTATAATTAGTTTACTGAAATTGACCGACAATTTTACTACTTCCGTTTACTTCTTATTAGTTATTACTTACCATAATTTATTGCACCCTAATATACCCCTCATAATAATCACTTAAATAAGGGGGAAAGTATTGTTAATTGTAAAGGAATATAGTTTGTGAGTATGGCAAAAGGAATATAGTTTGTGAGGGTAGATAAAAAAACGACCATCAAAATCCAAAAAATAAATAAAGGAGTAAAATGGGAATAGGTAAGTTTAAAGTGGGCAACAGTGGGTACTAACAAAAAAAAAAAAAAAAGAGGTTTCCCCCTAAATCGGAGGGGTGGGTGGAACAGGATTTTTTCCTTCCTTTTTCCTTTCCACCGGTACTGCATACAGCCTTCCTTTTTTTCCTTCCTTTTTCCTTTCCACCGGAAAGTCCTCGATTATTGTGTTTCCTTCCCTTTCCTTTCCTCCCTTTTCCCTCCTTCCTAAACAGAGGGTTAAAGTCGGGATTATTGTGATATTAGTCCATCTTTTTTTGGCATTTGGAAAAACAATTGCAGTGATGCTTTGATATGAAAATCAAAATGTCACATATTTTTTATAATTATGTCTAAAAATTGATCAACCTTATCCGACATATGACCCATGCAACTATGACAAGACCCATACATATCCATTGTTATTCATATTTCTATTCCTATTGCCAACCAGATAACCACGTCATTTTATGAGAGAAGAATAAGACGTGGAGACAAAACACAGAAAAACAAAGGACACGCATGCCGTTTTCCATTCATAGAACGAAAATTATGGATCAGTTGAATTAGTGAAGCTATCCTCCTAAGATCGACAATTCACCCTTTCCATTCTCAAATAACCTTCAAAACGTTAATCCCGTGTACTATATTTATTTCCGGTATAGTCTTATTTTTGTCAACCACTCTAAAAACAAAATAATAATAGAAAAATCTCTTAATTTGTATATATATAAACCATGGCGTTCAGTAATTTCCGGCTTTGCTTCTTTGCTCTCCATTTGCTAAATTTGTAAACCATCCAATTTCTCCTCTGTTTGCTGTCGCCCCTTCCCAATGGGAGGCGCGACATCGTTTCCATCGGCTAGCCTCATGTTTTATCAAGGAAAATAGCAAGAATTTCCATTGAGCTCCTGTTGCTTACTTCTCCCCAGGCTCCACAAAATTTCTGCAATGGGAGCCTGTTGTAGCACCGAGTTCCATTTTGGCCCTGAGGATGCCGACGACCCCACTGAGCATAAGGAATACGACATTGAAAGCAACGCCGGTGATGATGATGTCTTCTCCGGCGATTACGGGGCCCGCGTTCGTCTTCATGGGGCCTCCAAATTCATATCCATGTTCACCCAACAGGGGAAGAAAGGGGTCAATCAAGATGCCATGACCGTCTGGGAGGTAGGTCGCCCTAATAGTTTCCTGCTATACGACGATTCAAAAAATTTGAGTTCTAGGATTTGAGTATTTATGATTGAAATTACGGGTTTGTTTTTGTGTTGTGGTGGGTGTGGCAGGAATTTATAGGGGATAAAGAGATGACATTTTGCGGGGTGTTTGATGGTCATGGACCTTATGGTCACAAGGTAGCAAGGCACGTTAGGGACAATCTACCATCAAAATTGTCCACAGGGATCAAAACATCACATCTGAATAACTTCGATAACAGCGACGTTAACCTTAGCAGCGATGGGGATAGTGACCATGATGCCAGCAAACCAAAAGATGCCAAAAGTTCCTTGCTTTTGTCTGCCTGGGAAACATGTTTGATGAAATGTTTCAAAGAGATGGACCAGGAACTCAGCCTCGACGCTAGCATTGATAGCTATTGCAGTGGCGCCACTGGGGTCACCGTAACTAAAAAAGTACAAGTCATTAATGACCATAATTAATTTATTTTCTCCCATACAATCAATTGATCGATTTATCGATTTGTTCATGTCTCAGGGGAGGCACTTGTTGATAGCAAACTTGGGTGATTCCAGAGCGGTTCTTTGCAGCAGAGGAAACAAAAACCAGTTGATCCCAATTCAACTCACGGTGGATTTGAAACCCAATGTCCCAAGTAGGTTTCTTCCTCTCTTTGATCTAAATTTCATAATATGGGTATTTGAACTGGCGTTTACTTTTAATGATTTCATTAATTCCCCAGGCGAAGCGGAAAGAATCAAGAAGAACAACGGCAGAGTTTTTGCAATGGAAGAGGAGCCCGAGATTTTTAGAATATGGATGCCAGATGAAGATTGCCCTGGTCTAGCCATGGCAAGAGCTTTTGGAGATTTCTGCCTCAAAGATTACGGCCTCATCTCGACCCCTGAAGTCTCCTACAGGAGGCTCACAAACAATGATGAATTCGTCGTTCTAGCCACCGACGGAGTAAGCAAAAAAGCCAAAAGTAGAAGCATTCCTTTCGTTATGTCCTTAATTAATCTTACATTTCCTCATCTCGGTTTGTAATTTACAGATATGGGATGTGTTGACAAACGAGGAGGTGATAAACATAGTTGCATCGGCAAGGAAGCGATCAATGGCGGCCAAATTACTGGTTAAGTACGCGGTCAATATGTGGAGGACGAGACACCCAGGTTCTAGAATCGATGATTGTGCAGTGGTATGCTTGTTCCTAAAGAGCAAAACGATTTTGGCGAGGTCGTTTTCGGAGGTAAGCAGGGTGAGCGCCAACCACACAGAGCTAGCAGAAAACTTCTCGGAAGTCAGTAGAGCTAGTGTTCATCACTCGGAAATTGCTGCCGTGCCGTTGAAATCTAGAACCGTGAGGCAACACGTAGGGCGTCCGCCGTTGGGACCTGATCACACCAATAACAGCAACAATAGCAACTCAGAGCATAATGGCGGCGAAGTGGCAGCCGATAGCCATGGAATGAGTAGAGCGGACTCGTTCGCGGTGGTGTCTCCTGCAGGAAACGGGTTGAGCCAGAGGAGAGTGGCGAAATCAATGGAGCCGGTTGAAGCCTAACCCAAAAAACCAAAATCCCTTTGTTTTGATTTATTTAAGCCTTTCCCTTTTTTTCTTTCTGAACTTCATTAATTTTCCTCGGATGTTGAGGACGGGCAACAATTTGGCTCCAGGAGATTTATACCTTTTTACAGGAAAAAAGAAAAGAAAAAATTGCGCATCTTTTTTGTGCAATCCACCTTCCTTTTTGGTAAGGTTGCAGTTAGTGAAAGGAACAAACATTTCCCAAACACTATTATGCATTTTCACTCTCCACACCACCAACTGTTTATTTATGGCACAAGAAGAACTTTACATTTGAACTTTGACAGAAGTGGTTTCAGTCGTCATGGTCCCAGAGATCGGCCACTATCCTAAAAGGGCCTTCGGTTTTGTTGACGAACAGTTCTTCCCCATCCAGCACCCGTTTCTTTACAGGATTACAAAATAAGAAAACAAGAATTTCTTTAGAACAGATAGATCTTAACAATTCAAATAGTTGGAAAATTTTACGAATATCCTCCCACTAAACTTGGACTCGCTCATAATATGTTGTGAAAATGACATGTTCAATCGCAATAACACTTCAAAAATACATTTGCACAAGGTAAGCCTGGTTTTTTTACCTTATCAGAAATACTGGAAAGAACTTGAAAATCGGGTTGAGGAATTTCCCAGTTGAAAACTTGAATGTTCGGTTTGATTTGATTCTGGTGGGTTGATTTCAGGATGACGCTTGTTCCTCTCTAGAGATCCCATTTCACCAGAACCTTAGCAGGGCTTTTGTTCAGCTTGTTGGCGACCCTTTCCACGGTCTGATCGTGGATCAGATCCCTGCCACCTTCCGACGATCCCAGCGGCGAGTAAGCTTGCAATGCAAGGGACATATTAGAAAAGTTTCAGAGAAAACTTACAGATTCATCGGAGGGAATAGTTGGTGAGAACGTAGTGATTATTACCATAACATGGATGTCGTTTTGCTGGCAGGCTTGGAGCAATTTGTCGTTTCGCCAGCCAGGGTGCATCTCAACCTGACAAATGGAAGGCATAATCCTGAGCGAATCCGATGAGCTATTCAGTTTCTTGACAGTGTAATTGGAGATTCCAATGTCTCTAACGAGTTTTTCCTTGAAGAGAGACTCCATTTCTCTCCACACGCCTTCCATGTCGAACTCCAGAACGTCTCCGCGGTTTTGGAGGCCTGCTGGCCCCTTCTTTCAGACGGAATGGCCAGTGGATTTGCAAAAACCAACATAAAATGTATATCATTGATTTTTCTTCAAATTCACAAACTGAGTGTTTGAAAGAGTGGGGTGGAGTACCAAGTAAAGGTCGAGGTAATCAAGTTGAAGTTCCTGAAGGGTGTTGTTCAACTCTGATCGAACCCGATCCGGAGTCAGATCAGTCCACCTTTCACATTCATAAACATATATTCCATTAGGTTCTGCTGTGAGTTAAAAATCTAGGGGATTTAGATTGCAAAATTTTCAGGTACCAAATCTTGGAAGTGACAAACATATCCTTCCTCTCAACTCCTGCCTGAATGGTTGCATTGATTCCACACCCCACCTAACTAAAAAAAAACGAAATGCAAATTCAATTGTCCACTCAGTTTCAGTTTTCTAGAAAAGAGTGGATGAAGTAAGCAAAAGAGGGATTAGCATTGCTTCTTAGTTACATCTTCTTGTACGCCATACTCAGTTGTTGTATCTACATGCCTGTAACTAGCCTGCAGTGAACAATTAAACATCCCAACGTCAGGATTTGTTACTATACGCAGTGACCCTGTGTTAGATTTGTGTTAACTACCTCGGTTATGGCGGTGAAAACAGAGTCGATGGAGGTAGAACCAGCCCTCCAAGTTCCCAGTACCACGCTAGGGGATGTTCCCACTCAACAGCTTGAACGACTCGAGTTGCTCGCCGTATAATGTGAAGCTTGGATGCACCATTTTTGCTCTGCCCCTCTGTTTTACCCTTGTGACAATTTTAGCGATGGGAGAGAGACTTTATAATCAGCAAAGGGTAAAGGTTGTAGTAGTTGCACATAGTGGAGTGGTGACACGTACAATGAGGATATATGGGTGAGTGTCTTTAGATGGCGTTGTTCCCACAGGACACGTTTCAGGGCACTGTCATGATATTTTTCGAGGCATGGCGATGCGACAGAGACAGAGACAGACGCAGGCCAAATAAGAGATGAGGGAATGCTTCTAAGAAAGAGCAGGTCTATGAATGTGTACCATGTCTTCTGCTGGGCTTGGTGATGAAGGCCCATAGTCTCATTTATGTTATGGACTTGTCTATGGGTGGCTTTCATTATCAACCTGTTTTTTTTTTTTTCCTGCTTTAGACTCTTTTTCTCGCGATTGGATATTATGCCTACCCTTAAAGGGTTGGTTTTTTGACACCCCCTTCTTCATTGGTCAATTTTTTATCAATCATTTGGTAAGTATTAATTAAAGTAAACATAATAAATGCATATTATTCATATAATAAATAACATTATAATGACACTTTCTATTAATAAAAAATCTCTTTGTTAATACAAAAATCATCCTCTCTAACCCTATCAGTCTCTCTCTCCTCTCCCCCTCTCATTCTGTCATCGTCGTCACCACCATCCCTCATGTAGCCGTCCTCCTCCACCGCCTTCCACCAACACCACCACCATCCTCCTCTCTCCAATCACTGTCGTCCTACTGTCACCATCCTCCGGCATCGCTGCCACCATCCCCGTCGTTGCGCCGCCCTCCTCCCCCTCGCTTCATTCTCGATGAGTTTTCAATTTTCATATCTGAAATTTTTTATTTTCATTTCTGATTTTTCTACCATTGCAATTTAAACTCATATCTGAGATTTGTACCAGTGCACTGGTAGCGATACCACTGCATTGGTAGCGATATCAATGCATTGGTACAAATCTCATATCTAATTTTAGATTGCAGTGGTACAAATATCAGTGCAGTGGTATAACTTTTAAATGTAGTGGTACATTTTTGCAAGTGCTCGGAGGGAGTCTGCTGGCGGGATTTTCACCAGAGAAGTGTGGCGGTCAGAGTAAGTCTGGTGGTCAAAGGCTGCTAGAAAAGGAAGGATTAGAGATAGGAGAGAGAATTGTATTTTGTGTAGGTTTAGATTAAAAAAAAAGCAAGTAATTAATATGGTATATTTAATTCTTAATTTATATTTAATAAGAGTATTAAATTCTACAAGTTGCATTTAATACCAGTTGGTGTCAATTTTTCAACCCCTTAAAGGGATTAGCAAACTAATCGATCCTTCTTTTCTTGGTTTGAAGAAGGTGATATCAATTAGTCGAAGGAGGGCATATCAGTTTGATTGAGCTCGTAACGTAACTCTATAATATATCAATTTTGGGGGGGGGGGATGTTGTGATCGGGCGATTGAGGTTTCCGATTCAATCACGATTTCACTGTTATTGTAGTCGTCGTTCATTTTGCTACTGATTCTACAGACCCACGATCTCCTATGAGATTATAGGGGATCAAAGTAGTCGTGCTTTCCCCTGGGCGATAGTTCAATTCATCCTCCTGCATTTGGATTCTTATGGTTTCAAAAAGGTGGTTTTGTTTGAGGGTTTCTCAAGCGTTTCCTCAAGACAAGTGCATGTTTCAGTTTTTGGTGATTTCTTTCTTGTTCCCTCTCGCTAAGTCTCATCCTGGTTTTCAATTGGTTCTCCACTCAGTAAATTCAACAATTGATAGTGACAATTTAGCCTATAGACTTCGACCAAGTGGTTGTTTTCTAAGATGTGGACATAAGACCAGTTCAAGCGCAACTCAGCCTAGTTGTGAGAATGTTCTCTCTGTATCTACTGTCTAGTACGATGATGGATCGTGTAGCCAACAAAATTTAGGGGACTTCTGTAAACCCAATCGTTGTTCATGAGGCGGAGCGTGCTTTGTGCGATTTATTGTGGTTGATAATCATGTTTGGAAAAGGATAGTTTGCCGCTCACCGTGGATAGTCACAGATTTTGTGTTTCATCTCAAGCCCTAGTAGAATATTAATGACTCTCTCGTGTGTGACTTGGCCCTTGTTCCCTTCATAGTCTATATGTCTGCCATCACGCCCCAATTCTGCACCTTGCATTTAGGAAGAAGGTTTCCAGACCATATGGATGGAGGAGTGGATATGCGTGAGATAGGGATCTATTCTTATCACCATGGCCAATCGAAGGTGTTCAATAGTGCGAAAGTGTTCATTGATGCTGAGGATCGTCTTTGTTCTCGACTTTTTTTAGTAGAATGAAAAAAGGGGAGGCTTCTGGGCTCATTTGGATTACGAGTACTTGCCATCCCTCTACTTCCACTGCGGTGGTCAGGGCCATGGGGAGTCTCAATGTCAGTTTCCTTCTCCACCATCGAGCTAGAAATTAGTGTATGACGCATCCATGTCCATAATTTCTCAATATTCTTTTGGACAAGCATACCTTGTTGACGGAGGGTCATCTTCCAGTTCTCATATGACGGCATGCTCATGTTTGATACACAGGAGTTCATTCTCAGAACTAAGCAAATGCTAATCATGCATCAAACTGTGTGGGCAGTAACTGCTTGGGTACAGTTGGTAGGAGGAGCAAGTCACTACTCAAGTTTACACATCCAAGTATGTTCCTCCATTGGTTTGATCTTCTCGGGCTTTGTTCCTCCTTTGAAAATTTCTGAGGTTGGTTTTGTTGTTGTCTCTGTTGCTTCCCTTCATGTTCCGAGTAAAGATAAGGGTAAAGGTAGGATGATTATTATTGGAGTGGAATCAGATGATAAGGAGAGTTTGGATATGGATTCTTCCATGTCCAGCTTTCATATGACATTTCATTTGGTTGTAACATATGCAGATATGGAGATTGAGGGGAATAAACAAACTTTTGATTAAATGGAAGGTTTAGCTGCTATTCAACATGCAATTCAATAGCCTTTTATGTTAGAGGAGGGCCCAAGACAGGCGGGCGGAGCCTCATCTACTATTGTTCATGAAGATGATCTTCCATCTAAGTGGCAGCATTTGGACTTAGATTGTAATGCAATTATGGAAATTGTGGAGGAAGCCAGCAGCAAGTGGCCCAAAGGCGTTGAACGACTGTTGTGGCTTCGCTTTTTGACATTTCAAGCCTAAGAAGGACGTGTTTCTGTTTACTATTTATAATCCTACTATTTTATGTTTGTCTAAAACTCGTAATGAGTGTTCTTACGTTGATGGTGTTGTTCGTTCCTTAGGTTTGTGAATTGTAGTATTGTTGATCCGATTGGCTCTTCTTAAGGCTTTTTGTTGCTTGGGGTTATGATGTTTCGATTTTGCTACTTTTTAATAACTATTTCTTATTTTTATATCTCTTTGTAAATTTTTGTGAGTAATATTAAATGTGTCCTACTATTCGTGTATTTATCTTGTAATAATGTGCTACGTCAGAGACAATTAATTTATTTGTATAGATATTTTTCCTTACTTGTGGTTCCGTATAGGGTGGTTGGTGATTTCAATGATATTCTAAGTTCTTCTAGAAGATAGGGGGTCGAGATTTTGATACAAATCAGTCTTTACCTTTGCGCAAGTTTGTGGATGATTTAAGATTAATGAAAATTGATTTTTCTATCCCGCAATTTACATGTTCAAATCATCATTCTGATGAATCTATTACTTACATTTGGCTGGCTAGATTCCTATTTTCAGGCAATTGGTTAACCAGTTGGCCTCACTGTTCGGCTGGGCATCTTTTGGATGAGGGAAGTGACCATAAGGCTAATTCATACAGTTGGACTGTAGATAGGCTATCTGGGAAGCCGGAGTTCATGTTTGATTCTTGATGCTTGGTGGCGTCGTAATTACCAGGCTACTTCTATTTTGGTTGATGTTTGGTCGATTTCTGTTCATGGTTCCCCATGTTTTCAGCTTTGGACCTGGATGAAACCTTCCTGTCATAAACTCTTCCAACGGGCCAAGCATGGCACTACGAATTCTGCTTGTCACATAAGAGAGCTGCGTTCTCAGTTATCTCGGGTTAGAAATAATTATCCACTTAATTGAGGGGAACTTAATAGAGTGGAGTTATAATTTTATCAGCTTGGGCGACTGATGAACTATATTGGAAGCAATGTTCTCGAATTTGTTTGGTTGTAGGAGGGAGACTAGGATACTAGTTATATTCATAATGTGACTCAGGCTCGGAGGATTCGCAATCGCATTCATGGCTTGTTCAATCATGAAGGGGTTTGGGTCACGGAGGAATTGGCTAAGCAACATATAGTTGTGGACTTTTATTAGGATCTCTTTTCTTCGAGCAGTGCTTACCCCGAGTTATGGATATTTCTCATACTTTGATTGGATGGGTTCAGGATTGTGTTACTGCAGCTACATTATCAGTAATGATAAATGGTGGGTTGTCAGGGTATTTTGCATCATCTCGTGGCTTACGCCAAGGTGATCCTTTGTGTCCTTTACTATTTGCCTTATGTACGAAAGGGCTGACGACCATGTTTTAAAAAGTCATTCTTCGGTGTGAGGTTCATGGAGTGCATTTGAATAACATGTGACCTTTTATGTCGCATTTGCTTTTTGCCAATGATTTTGTCCTTTTCCAAAGGGCTTCCAAAAGTGATGCTACTTTCTTTTTGCAGGTTCCTGAGGATTATGAAAGCATCAGTGGTCAGCGAGTTAATATTCACTAATTGGCTGCGTATTTCACTCCTAACGTGAGACGGAATGATTAAGAAGAACTTGGTTCCTTTTAGGAAGTGGGATCAATTGGTCTACAAGATCGTTACTTAGGTCCTCCATATCTTTTGGGCAAGTCTAATCTAGAGAAATTCATATTCATTGACAAGAAAAACTGTTATTGGTTTTACAAGGTTGAAACCATCATTCGCTTTCTGCTACGGCTAAGGAGGATCTCTTAAAATTGGTGCCAGCGGCTCTGGCGATCTATATTATG